TTGAGGGCAGGACCATTAACCTCTATCTGAAGTCTGCTGCTCTGAGCATGTCAGTTGGAGTGATGACATCATCGTGTTCCATTACACAGGTGTTTATATTTGAGCTAACGAGGTGCCTAGACTTCAAGGCTTCATTGTTCTGAATGAGAGATGAACCTCGTACATGTGAACGTTTTGTGGAAGAACCGTAACAGATATCTGTGAAATTTCAAAACGTGAAGCATGTCAAGGAAGTTGAGTATCTGAAGTGTAATTTTTGTGTACTTTCGGGTTAATCATGTGGCCTTTTTGGCAGTTTAACTAAAGGTGTGCGGCTGCTGCAGGGAGGAAATATCAGCCTGAAATTACAATGGGCTTTAATGGAGACATGTTGAAAGTTTTTGTCACTTCATGCCCTCAAAAAGCATTTTGTTTAATTATTTTTTGCTTAATTATTTGTCATTTTTCAAGCTACGAGATGATTTCCTACGTTTGTCATGAAAAATGATGTCTCAGGAATGTAGGGTTTGGGAATTATGGCAGTTTTAAAAAATATATGAAGGCAAATTTCAAGATTTCCTCCAGCTGTGACATCACACACTCTAGTTAATGTTAAAATCTGAAGAAAGCCTCTTTACCAAGGTCTGAACAATGTTTAATATTTCAAAAAGTATGAATCTGATTTAAAAGTTGAATAATGTCAGAAAGATGGGTAACATTTTAAAGTTGGAATGAGGTTTCTGAGTGAAAGTATGAAGGAACAGTTAGCAGTTGAAGTCGGATGAAGATTTTTCAAGTCTGAAGAGTTTCTCCATTGACTTCAATGTTAAACATTTGATGAATTATGGGATGTATCTCCGGAATTATGAAAGTTATGAATGAGAAAAGTCATAGCCATCGATTCCCGACCGAGCTGAACGTTTTGATGTTTGAACGGAGTTTCTGCGATGTGCAATGCGGGAGGAGAAGAGGGCCAAAATAAATCGGCGGAATAATAAACTTTTTGTGCGTAGAATAACTTTTAGTTGGAATGCTGTTAACAGAATTCCCACTCAATTAGAAACATGTTTATTCCCTTTCCACATACGAGTAATTTCCCTTGGTGTATGGTGCATACATAAACACAGTCAAAGATAGGAAATAAGGTATTTTTGTATACAAATATGCAAAACATTCGGAGTGTTGGGCATGACTGATGGTACTTAAATAAAATAATAAAAAACTTAAACACAAAGGTGTTAACTGTTGCATTTTAATCAATTATAAACTGCAGTATTCAAACTAGCCCTTTCATTTCGTTTATAAAGTGTTGCATATAAATATACCATTGTATGATAACATGAAATGATCTGCAAAGCCATCAGGTAATGGATCTGGGATCAGCGAGTGGACCCGGCCTCAGTGCAGTGTGGCTCCTCTCTGCTGACAGCTGTTTCCGGATTAAGGTTAAAGGTCCTGTTACGGTTTTTGCAAGGATTCAATGAATCAAGTATGATCTTATCTTGTTTAGGTTGGCCCAGCCTTACACACTGCGAGTGAAGGCTGTGGCATTGAAGGAGTGTATAAAGGCGTGTGTGTGCAGCAGCTGGGGGGCTTCCTGAAGAACCCCTCTCTGTGACGCCTGGCCTCCCTCTGTCAGGGCCCTCTGTTGTGGATATGGCTTGGTTCCTGTATCTGTGTGTATTTTTGGTGGTGGGCCTGGTTTTGTTAGCTCTGCAGTTGAAGCTCAGAATGTCCGCACATGGCCCCCAGGAGCCCCCTCATCTCCCAGCACTGCCTCTGATCGGTAGTCTGCTCAGCCTGCGGAGCCCGCACCCCCCTCATGTGCTTTTTAAAGAGCTGCAGCAGAAATACGGACAGACGTACTCTCTGATGCTGGGCTCCCACTGTGTCATCGTAGTCAACCAGCACACGCACGCGAAAGAAGTCCTGCTGAAGAAGGGGAAGATATTCGCCGGAAGACCAAGAACTGTGGGTAAACCTCCTCTCCTTGTCTCCACGTTAGCATTATCAGCAGCAGTCATTGATGTTTTCCTTTTCCATCCTGTGCTGTGTGATGAAGGTGACCACAGACATTCTGACCAGAGATGGGAGAGACATTGCATTTGGAGACTACAGCGCTGCCTGGAGGTTCCACAGGAAGATCGTGCATGGAGCTCTGTGCATGTTTGGGGAGGGCTCTGCCTCCATCGAGAAGATCAGTGAGTACACAGGACTCCTCTGGTCACATGATGCTTCAGACAGCTTTACTGAGAAGTCTAAAAGGGAGTTTTAGGTCAGTCCTCCCATTACAAAAACATGCTGTCTTCCCTCTTTGTATTTCAACATGCGAATGCTTTTGGTTTTATATTCCTCTAAGATTTTTTTTCCAAAAACGACTGATAATGACTAACTTCATTATACATTCGCTATTTTCTAAAAAGATCCTAAACCCAAAGGTATTCACTATACCACCAAAGAAGTCAAAAGAAACAGAATTCTCATTTGAGAAGTCAGAAATCTTTTCGGCATTTTTCTTAATCATTATTCAAAGTTAATAATTACTTGTGTCCATGGACTAACAGATGACCCTCTGTTTTTATCATTTTGCACTTTGTGATTTTGTTTAGGATGTTGAGATTTGATCCATGGATGTAATGCATGAAATGTATGAAGGAGCTGTAGTGTAGGATTATGTTCCATTGTCCTAATAACATGTCAGCAATATTACAATATAAAAGATAGAATTGGAGGATGAAACCCTCTTTATTGGTCACACATGCAGAGCACACAGCACACACAGTGACATGTGGTCTCTGCTTTGAACCCATCCTAGTACCAGGAGCAGTACTC